AGAGAGAGCGAGAGAGAGATAGCTATATATGTATTATAACTATCTACATATATAGTAACATGTCTCAAATTCTAAAACGACAGTCATAATGGTACACTGACAGATGGTTCATTCTTCGACGAGTCGTGCACAATTTTGATTATCATATTATGAGGCTACCTGCGTGCATAATATTATCGTTTTCCTTTGTTATTTTTTTCTAATGCAAGTAACTATTTCGTTGCTCCTCCTTATTATAGAACTATAAAAGGTACGCCACTCTTTGAAAATAATAACATACAATTAATGCCATAGGCGTTCCTACTGACGCTTTTACAACGTTTCCATTAGAATCTCTGCTTACAAAGGTGTTAGCCCTTTCGTACGGTACTATACATTCTTCTGCCCCAAATTTTCTGCCCTTTCTTTTGCGGGTATCCCAGAACAGTTTTGAAGTCTTAAGCTGATTATAGTATCATACATTGCTATTTCTTTGGCAGCCACTAGGAACGGTCGTTCTATAAGTGGCCTGTAAATTGGATTTTCCCAGTCTTTTGGGCTCACGGGCAGGCAAAGTTGACATCAATGACCGGTCACTATGTGAGAACATTAATTTAGCAACGACTTTGCCTCTAGGCCGAACACATTGATCGTCATGTCACGTGATTTGTGTATGTATGTGTGTGTGTGTGTGTGTGTGTGTGTGTGTGTGTGTATGTGTGTTTGTGTGTGTGTGTGTGTGTGTGTGTGTGTGTGTGTGTGTGGGAGAGAGATAGAGAGAGAGAGAGAGAGAGAGAGAGAGAAAAAGAGAGAGAAAGAGAGAGAGAAAGAGATAAAGAGAGAGAGAGAAAGACTGATATTATAGATGTGAGTGCACAAGAATGAAAATGTATTCCGTTTATGTTAACGTATATATAAGGCGTCATGCAAATATGATGCACCTAACAATTTGTCTAGCTGTGTTTATTTCCCCGCCTCCAAATCTGACTTTTCTTTAACCTATTGGTCTGTTTATGTGTCTGTATGTATTTCTGTATAATCATACATCACTTGTATCGCTGTCGTAAGAGTACTTATTCATAAACCATTTCCTCCCCATACTAAAGGCAGTACTCTATTGAGATCAGATAGACCAAGTGACTGTGGTTTTGGAGGGCACCACTGGTAAGTCCTACATCTTTCGGTTTCCTTTCTGGTTTCTGTCTGCCATTTTTATATTTTTCCACGTACTAAATAACAGCTATCGTGCCGAAGTGCATCCTTTTTAAAAAACAACCCCAAACAAACCCCCCCCCCAAAAAAAAAACCAAAAAAAAACAACAACAACAAAATAACAAACAACCAAACAACCAAACAGCAATAACAAAAAAAACCCCAAACCCCAGCAACAAACAAACTGAACCTACAACCCAACAAACTAACAAACAAACTAATAAACGCGACATAGCCGTTGC